CCCCCAACGTGTTTTCTCTCTCGGAGCGGCGTTTTGACGGGCGGAACAATACCGACGTCACGCTGCGTCACGTGTATGTATGTGTGTGTGCGCGCGCGTATCAAATTTGCTAAAATGTCCATTATAAATGCGGTACAGTAGAAATCCATTTATGGAAAACCGGAATAGTATAAACGGTGAGGGGGGAGACGGTCGAATTTAACACATCGTCTAATTCGGCCGTAATTATTTCCACCGTTAATACCCACCTGTTTTTCGACTTTCCTTCCTCTCGTCGCTGCAACTCCGCCACGCACGTATCGGTAATTAAACCGTTTCGGAACACGTGGAGGCAGCAACACGCGCGCGATCACACCGAACACACGCCTTGCGACGATGAATGCTCGCGCGTGAGAAATCTATCTTTTCGACGATATTCCATCGACAGTTTTCAACAATGGTTGCCGGTGACGTCGAGAATTTCCAATCAGCAGCGTCATTTGTTCGTCGCGACTGTTGGCAATGCCCGACGAGATCGACAACGATTTTCCAAGGCAGCGGTCGTGACGCATAAATATTCCAAAATAACGCGCCGTGGCAATTCTCAATATTACCGTGTCTGGGAAATGGGACGGCATTAATGGAGCCTGCTGTGCCACCGCGCGTCTCATTGAGTCGCGTACACGGGGAAAAGTCTCAATCGCCACCCGCTGAATGGGGACTAAGTGAAAACTCGCTTGACGAGAAATGATATCTCTCCGTTACCGCGACTGAGAAACGTTTATATGAATACTCAGCTGCATTGAAACACGATCGAGACAACCGAGGGCGATTGGCCGAATAGAAATCTCCCGCTTCTTTCTGCTCCTACAACCGAGCACTCGTCTGACCCCCGGAAATCCACCACCAACAAAATTGTTCTTTCCGCGTGTGTGAAGTATAATTAATTGCATTCGGAGGGATTAAAATAACACACCGATTTGATTCTGATAGTAAATGTTGGCACTACGAGGCCTACACGCGTTTACTTGCTCCTTCCTCCACGTTTTTTTCTTGCGCAAGACGCTACACCTCGCTTCTATTCCTGTTACTCAGGAATAAGAAAGTTCGCTCCAAAGGCCACTGCGATTA